CCAGACAGCAGTATGGTGATACTAGAGGGGAAGGGAGGTGGAGGGGGGAAGTTGAGGGTCTAGGGAGTAAAGAGGGTGATGGAAGAAAATTTGACTTGGGGCAGTGAACACGCAATACAATATACAGATGATGTATTATAGAATTGTACCCCTGAAACCTATGTAATTCTATTAATAAATGTCACCCCAATAAATCAATAAAAAGAAGAAAAGAAAAAGCATAATTCCCTCACACTGCACTTTTGCTTGTCGCTCATCAGTCAAAGAGGTAGGGGAGTGAGCTGTGTTTTCGCTCCGTGGTCCATGAGGCCCTCCTCCACCCACACACATTCAGCTTGGGAGGCAGGTTTAACGGTTCTAGCCTGGTCTGAGCTGGGCATCAGGGCTGTTCCCCTTGAGCATGCTACCAGTCCTTGCTGAACTTGGAGTTAGTATGTTTCGATTTGTGTTTAGATTCTCTTTTGTGAGGTTCAGTAGAGAAGTGTCCTAAATCCAGAAAAAGTTAAGCAGAATCATTTACAGGTTGCTCTCTAGTGTCACAAGAGGCAGTGACTCAGGCTGGCATGCAGTACATTCCCCAGTCCTTATACTACTTCCACATACTTTTCCATTTGACCAGATAAGGAATGCAATTTGGGGTTTTTTCACTGTGGTACAGTCACCAAGCTCATGAAAAATGTAGTATTTAAAAGGACCAGGGATTGTCTAAATAGTGAAGTTTACCCCAAACCTACAACCCTTCTCTTAGAACCTAGCAATGATTCTGAATGGATCCTGGCTCCCAGATTGACTACAACTATGGTACTGAAGTCAAATATATGTTTAACTTTAGAAAGTACCATCTCCATGACCTCTGATGGCATTTGACATGTAAGCAGTTAGAAATGGCTGTAATAGAAGAGGAGTAATCAGGTTAAATAACAGATCCCAAGTTAAGTATTTTTCAGAATAATTTGACACTCACTCCCTGCGCAAATTGCTTTTGAAGGCAATCACATCAATGACTACTTTGAGCTACTAATGCATACATTTTCCCTCCTGGATTTTTCTCACTCCTATAACCCCATAGAAAGCAGGACACTATCAGAACAATCACTGATGGAATTAACATAAGTGTAACTGTGGTTTTTACAAACACGTTGAGGTCGTTTGTTTTACCTCCTGAGAACACCAGGCACACTGAGGTCCAATGAGTAAGCAGTCTTCACAGGTTTCTGCACCTCCCATGGCACAGCCACCTGTGTTTAAACCCAGCAAGACACAAGGGATTCAGCACTCTCTCAGTCATTCCATTTTCCAGACTTATGGCTCTTAAAGTACTTAAATGAAGCAATATCAAAGTTTATTTTTGTCTTCAAAGATCAGTCTTCAAAATGTTAGCAATTCATAAAGTTTATACTTGGCATCAACCACACTGAAAATATGTATGTCTTATTAGCCAAAAATGCTCATTCTCTTTATTCTTAAAATATGAAAATATTCCAATGTTCACAAATATGTAATCATCATTTACTGTCTTCATTCATTATCATCCACTTTAATTTTTAAAAATTATTTGCACTCATTTAAAATGCTTCTCTCTTAAATGTACTATATTTTTATTTTTAAAATAAATCCCTGTTCTCTCTCAGGGTTATTACTCTTGTTGTACAAAAAAAAATAGCTAGCAAAGTTAACAAAATGGTTGTCACAAATGTATTAAGAAGTCCTATAGTGTAGTAATGCTGTTCAGTCCTCCTCATTAAAATGCCCTGCAACCTTTGTATTTATTTACCTTAAGCCTCACGCATATGCTATAATAGGAACAGCCCTGCGTCTGCCTGTAATTTGTTAAAGTGTTTGCTCAATGGGAAGAAAGCAGTCAAACAGATCAAATAAAAAATGACTTCGGATCGAGTTTCTGAACCAAATGACAAGCTTGTCAAGCATACCAGGAAAGCAATATATCGGAGAGCTCAGGGCTTACCTTGTACGTGATCGTTCCTTCCTAGAAATAGAAAGAACAGGCAAAGCAGTTCAATCCCCATTCGTTTCAGTTCTCGCTGTGCAGACAGATTAAAAATGAATTACCTTCAACATTTCAAGACCAAAGCTGAACATCGTAAAAAGTCTTTCTTTCTCAAAGAGTGAAATTTTAAATACTACTTACACTGCTTTGAAAAGAAACTTGAGATGTAAAGAAAAAAGTTTTCATTAAGACTGAAATGAAAACAGAGGCTACCTGGACAGGTAAAGAAGAAAAGCTGTGCTTAAGAGCAACTTCAACATGATTTACTTCCTTGTTCTCCTTATAAGGAAAGCAGGTGTACAATCACCAAGAAGGTGGAGAGATTCATTCAGTAGAAATTTTTGTGTAAATTCTATTAGTCTCTCTGCACCCTAGAGAAAATCAATACCGTTAGTGAAATATTGATCAGTGAAATGTGGATAGAGCAATTGAAATGATTTAAAATTGTTTCTAAAATAATTTTAATTAAATAAAAACAGTAAAGATGATGAATTAAACACAAATATATGTTATAGGTAAGGAGAGTTTTTTTTAAATGAGCTAAAGAAAAATACCTGAGATTTTTGTATTCCATTTTAAATCCTTTGCAGAGAATTGAAATAAACTCTGAAAAATATAAACCATTTTACAGTCAATTTAGAAGGCAAGCTAGGGAAAGCAAAACATTGTGCTCCCTTGTTTTCCAAATTGGGTGAAAAGTATTTTTCTATAAGCATAGAATTCTAATTTTAAAAGCAATATTGGAAAGAAATATATTAAAATCAAATTAGAGCAGATTTAGTCTCAAAACAACAACAATGGAAACAGAACCAATGATGCAGAAGTTTTTAAGTCCCTCTTGGTAGGGACCAAGTACTCTTTTTGTGTGTACTGTCCCAGCTTCTGGCTCACTACTTGGAACATAGGAGGTATTTATTTGTTGAACAAAAGAGTGACACATTTAAAAGCTATACAATCTATGGCTAAATTCATGAGGATGATTACATATATTTTCCAAATGTATTCAAGAGGATGTTTGAGGATTTGTAGAGACTACAAACAGGTAAGAATAAAATATTCACTTTGTTACTCTCCAAACTGAACTTAGGCTTCTTTGTGACTGGGCTTACATTCTGAGAAAGGGGTGGAGGGTTGAGGGGGCTAATATATGGTGACAGAAGATGATTTGACTTTGGGTGGTGGGCACACAATGCAATATACAGATCTTATAACATAGAAATCCACACCTGAAACCTATATGATCCTATTAACCAATGTCACCCCAATAAATTTAATTTAAAAAAGTGTATTTCTAAGCATATAAAACCTGTAGGGAGAGGAAAACTAATTATAGGTTCTTCTCAGGAGGCTATGTTCAATTTTGAACTCTATCACACACAAGAACCTGGAAGTACATAGCAAGAATCCTATAGAGAGAAAACAGAATTATTAAAGAGTTGGGTCCTAGCTGGTTAGGCTCAGTGGTTAGAGCGTCAGCCCATGGACTGAAGGGTCTCGGGGTGTGTGTAGGAGGCAACCAATTGATGTTTCTCTCTCTCTTTCTCTCTTCTTTCCACTCTCTCTGAAAAGCAATGGAAAAAATATCCTTGGGTGAGAATTAAAAAAACAGAAAAGAGTTGAAAGTATGTCTTTTGGGAGAAAAATACAGTTATATGAAATAAGTTGATTTAGCTTGAAGAAAGGTTGATACACAAATTACCTGTGTCCCTGATATTGCCTCCATTTTTGTAACTAGTATTAAATTTCGCTCACTGATTCACCCAACAGATATTTATTGAACATCTACTTTGTGTCAAGGATTGTTCTAGAAGAAGAGAATATGTCAGTAAACAAAGTCATGCTCTTGACACATAAAATATGTATCTTAGGCTGGGGAGCAGTAGTAGACAGATTCTTAAAATCAGGCAGTGATAAGGGTTATGGAAAATTATAAAGCTGGGTAAAAGGAAAGAGGGACAGGAAGGGTGTTATTTTATTTAGGATAGTCAGGGAGGATTTCTCTGCTCAATTGACATCTAACAGAGCCCTAAATGACTTCGGCAACAAAGTGTAAAGGCCCTGAGACAGCCTCATGCTGAGCATTCTCAAGGACAGTGGAGGGCAAGATAAGAGACAGAGGGTAGTTGCAAATGTGGTCAAATTGAGAGGCAGAAGTCAGATTGTATGTAGTCTTGACCTTGAATTGTATTTTATATGTGTTGAAATACCATTGGAAGGTTGAAAGCAAGGAAATGACATTATTTAATTTACACTTTAAAAGAATCACTCTGGCTGCCACTGAGGTTAGAATGTATGGGATACGATTGGAAGGTGGGAGACCTATTAAGAATATATGGCTATTATCTAGGACAGAGACAAGGTAGTTGGGGTTAGGATGTTGGTGATGTAGGAAGACAGAGGTGGTCAGACAAGATATAATTTGAAAAAAAAATGTGCTTATGGATTGGATATGGATATCAAAGGAGGAGAGATTTTTGGCCTGAGCAACTGAGTGTACAATACTCTTTCTTGAGAGAGGTCACCTTGGGGAACAATCAGGTTTCAGTTAGAGAATGGGGCTCGAGAACATGTTAATTTTGAGACGTCTAGAAGATAACCAAGTGAAGATGTCGCATGGGCAGTTTGATATCTGAGTCTACAAATGGGGTGATGTTGAAGTGTCAACTGTAAAATTGGGATCATCAGCTTGAATTTAAAGATATGAGACTGAATGAAATCCTCAAGGAAGGGAAGTGCTCTGAGGATGAGCCCTGGAGCCTACTGATATCTAGAAGTCAGGAGGATCAAGCACAGAAAGCTGCTACCTGAAGACCACTCCTCCATCAAGGACTTAGGTGCACATGCACATGACCTTGGACACAGATAACAATGTGGAGAAGACCTGGCGGGGGATGCCGGGTGGAGGGGATCAACTGGGGGAAAAGGGGGACATCTGTAATACTTTCAACAATAATATAAATAAATAAATAAATAATAAATAATAAATAAATAAATAATAAGATAAAGAACACCCTTTCTTGCTAAAAAGGAGCCTACCTTTGTTGGAAGACCTCCAAGCATGTTTCACATTTCTGCACATCTTGTAAGCAAAGGCACTGACTTCCTTTGTTCCAGGTTATCTTTTTAAGGATTTTGTAAAGATAATAGCCTTTGAAGATAGAGATCATGTCACCCTCCAGAATCAGGAGCCAGGATGTTTGCTGCCCATTATAAAGATTCAGCTTCCTAAGTTTGGGGTCTCTCTCTTATAACACAACCCATCACATTGTGCAGGTGTCACCTCTTCCCAGTTGGGTTGCCCTGTGGGAACTGGCCTTGGGAAACTGATGAAAGAAAATGCTTACCCTAGGGCCACTGATATTGCTGTGAATCCTTTATCTCTGACCCAGGCATCTCATGTCTCTGTCATAATCTATGAGTCTGTGATGATCTAACTTGTCAGCTTACAAGTAAAAGCTCAATTTCTTTACAGATCTCCACAGTCTGCTACTTGAAATCTCCTTTTTTCTATAGACTGAACATGCAATCTTCTGACCTCATTTGGGAAGGTAAGAAGTTGCATCCCACAAGACTGCCTGAAGTGCCTTGGACTGAACAGTGTTGCCCTGGGCTCCAGAGGTTTCCTCAGGTCCTGAGTTGTCTGTCTGCCCACCAACCTCCTTGGAAGCTACTGTCAGGCACTTTGGATGAGCTGGGATCAGGGATGTGCACAACTCTCCACCTTCCCACTCCCTAGAAACTCTTCTCTGAGGTTCTAGTTGCCATAAAAACCTCTTCTTCCTGGGAACATAGTTAGACTACTTCTCCCAATCTGTTTTGCAGTTAAGAGAACCTCAGTGACTTAGCTCTTAGCCAATGGGATGTGAGTGAGAGTGATATATCCCACTATCAGACCATGTCCATGCCCTCTGCCAACTGGATGCAGGGAGCAACACCAAGGTCCTGGGAGAACTCCAGACCTTCAATGTGACCCTGTATTTAGACCTTGTACTAGCCCATGTACAGAATTCCAACCAGCCCCTAAATAATAAAGGCGCTGCTTTATTTGCTCTCCATCCCCAGTTGCAACCCCTTCCCCACTTCTAAGCCTTTGCACCCACCATTTGTGCTGCCTGGAGGCCCTTGTCTTCCTCTTACTCCTCTCACTTGGCTAACTCAACTCACCGTCTAGGTCTCAGTGTAGACATTACTGGAATGTCCCACATGAAGAACTTTATGGTGTCTCCAGGCTTCTCTTCTGGGAGACTTCCCCCAAGATAGCCCTTTTCACTTTCCTCATAATTGTCTAAATCCTTGCCTCTCTCCCCCACCAGGCTGTGAGTTCTTTTAAGGTATTTATTTATTCAACAAGCATTTATTGAATACTTACTAAGTATCAGGCAGGGACTATCTTAGTTATCTTTACGCTCCCAGCAAGCAGCATAATGTTTGGTACTCTGTGAGTATTCAATTAATATTTATCAAGTAAGTGGGTGAATTTTATGTCTTCATTCTCTACTATTTTACCTGTTATAAAACACATACTCCATGAATACTAAGAATATAGACGATTAAATGAGTAAATGGTTTTAGAGGGTACATACTTCAGTTAGAAGGGGAAAAGGTTGTTCCCCACTTGGGTAGTGATGAAAGCTGAGAAAAGGCTTAAAATGCAGGGCGGAGAAAAGCAGCTGAATTTAGGAGAAAATACAAAGTATGGCAATGCTACAATTAAACATCCACCCACTCTGTTTTCCCCTTGGCACCACGCTGGATAATTTGTACCAGGCTAAAAGGCACAGGAAAAAGATTCTTGCTTCCTGAAGATGTGATGCCTGGTGCCCTCTCCTGGAAAGTACCTGTCCCTGCCCCTGTTACTCCATGAGCAGGCCAGCACCCTGGAAAGCACCCAACAAAAACTGTGTCCCCTTAGCCAAGCCAAGCACATTAATTACCTCTGTTTCTGTATATATATATGGAACTTGAACTGTGAAATACAGACAAAAATAGGGGGTTTGGTCCTGGGGGCTGCAGCTAGCCAAGAGAGGACAAGAGCTTAGAGGGAAGGTAATGCTTCATGAGTGAGTCAGTGTTAGGAGGAATCTGCAGCTACCAGGAGACAGAAGCCCAGGCAGAGGAAAGCTATGATGAGTAGATGAGGTGGTGGCTGGAGAGTGTCAACAGTAAAAGCAACAGAGGAAGGGCCCCTGAGCCACATGAACTGAGGAATGTCAGACCCAC